TCCAGCCCGGGGCACAAAGGAGTGTTCCAATTTGTATCCCGGGTAGGAGAGATATGAAGTATCAGCCGGAGAGGTCACCTGAGTCTCGGTTAAAAAGAGCAAGGCCGGCTTCGCCGTCTCTAGATGGTAATGGACAGCGTTAAGGTTGGAATGAAGTCCCCTGATGTTGCAAAAATTCACGGATAGCGTGACAGGGGTCGCCTTGGTTGTATTGCTCCGCTTGCCCCGAGCAGCATTAGTCACGAGCGGAATTTTGCCCCCCCCAGAATACGCGGGGCAGCCTGAGGACCCACGCTCAGGAGTGAAGTAGTTTGTTCGTGGATGCTCAGCGAGGGATTCTCCAGGGGTGCTGGTACCCTCCTGGGGTAGTCTTGTATTTAATTCCACTACCATGTTGATAGGGGGGGGGGGAGGGAATTGGGCCTCCGGCCACCTGCACTCACCAAGGGCAACGCAGAGGTAAACCTCTACTTCACGCTGGTATTCTGTGAGGTCGTGGTACCACCGTGGTACTTTCATAGCTCTTTTTTAACTGTGGCTCGCCAGCAACGCAAAGTCAGGAATTTCCATTTAGAAATAGTCAAAATTAGGGGCATTTTAGGTGCTTATTAGGTGCCAAGTTTAAAATTTCGGTGCTCCAAAATTTTCACCGCAACGAAGTATTGAGATTTGTATTGCTCGCAAAACGTGTACGCAAAACTAGCAACGCACTGACGATAATAGATATACGGTAAATATTAATAGCAAGGAGTTAAGTGCTAATTAAGTACTAAAATTATTGGCAATGACAAGGCACCCCTAATAAAAAATAAGTCGTTTTTCAGAACAAAGCAGATGCAAAAATCAGGTCTTCTGAAAATGGTAAAACTATAGACATTTGGTACTTGCGTACAGGGATGGGAGGGGAGGGTTCTGGGGAAGCTCCCCTACCCTTCCCTTCCTGCGGAAATGTATAGTTTAATAATTCATTCATTTAATAATCATTGTTTTTGTATAATCATAACCTCACCTTTTTACACAGAAATATTGATTTTAAATTTTTAAACTTGGCACCTAATTACGAGTAGCACTTAAAAAGTCCCTAATTTGGGCTTTTTCTAAATGCAAGTTCCTGCGTTGCTTGCGATACAAAACTGGTTTTTTAACTTTAAAAGTGTAATAATTTGAATACATAATAGTAGCATCTATCAATAATATGAACATCGCGATAATTTTTAGTTTAATTGCTAATTTAGAAATAAACTGTTCTCTTATTGCAAAACTCATTATTCTTGAGTTTTTGTACAATTACCTTTACAGTTTTGGCTTTTACAGTTTATTCTAATACTAGCGTCGTCTACTGCCGTTTAGTAACTGATATATCTAGACAGGTGGTCATTATCAGGATGATTTACCGCAATCGCAAATACTTTTGACCCACCGTCACTTGTTCGACTGTGAAGTGTTGAAGTATAAAATCGTGGGGAAACTTATGTGTCTGAAAAGGGTAAAAACATCGTGTACATATGAAAACCACACACACGCATTGTAGCATTGCGGCGATCTCTTTTCTGTCCACAAAACACTATTTGTAATTAGGAGTCTTTAACTTTTTTACTATATAACAGTTTGTGACTGGTTAAGATAGCTATCATAGGGAGCACTTACAGGAATTGTTCGGATTAATTTCAGCCGCGAAAAAACTCACGATACTATCCACACCATGTGGATGATGTGTAAGATCTGTACGATTTACCAGGAGCTTTCTTTCTCGCACGATTTTGTGAAATCGTTTACCACCGGCGATTTTTTTGGATCAATACTACTTAGGGACCGTCAAGAAACGAGCTTACTCCTTTTTAATAGGCTGACAACGCACCTGCAATTCCTCTGGCGTTACAGTTGACCGTGGGCGGCGATTGACACTTACCATCAAGTGAGCCATATTATCGTGTGCCCCTTTTCGACATTAAAAGAAATCTGACTGAGTACGTGTCAAACAATGTAGGGTCACAATACGCGAACTTAGAAGTGGCCTTCTTCATACTATGAGTATATTAAAGGTCTTGAGCAAATAGGTAAATGGCTGCGATTTAATCTCCTTACGCTCAATACTGAAAAAAGTTGCTATAAATGCTTTTGCATTTATAACAACGCTCAGCCAGAACTAGATTTTGCGTTGAGAATACATCACTGCCGTACTACAACAGATAGACAAAACTGCCACTGCCCCACCATACAAAAAGTAACCGAAGCTAAATATTTGGGAATGTGGTTGGATCAAAGACTCACTTGGTATCCTCAGCTTGAACATGTCACTCAGAGAATAAGACGGATTTAGAAACGGGGATTGGTGACAAGTGTCATCTAAGAGAAATATATCTATCCCTAGTACAGTCTGTTCTTGCTTACTGCTTGCCTATATGGGGAGGTGCAGCCAAGACGCGCTTTCTTGAGGCGGAACGTGCACAACGTGGTTTGATAAAGGTCATGTATTTTAAAAAACAAATGTTTTCAACTGATAAACTCTATCAAACTACACGAATTCCTTCAATTAGAAAGCTTTACATTATACAGACAATTCTGAGTAAACATAAAACCCTGAAATTTGATGCCACTAATGCTGTAAGAAGAAGGCATAAGCTGGAAACCGTCATATGCAATTCTGCTTTTGCTTCAAGACAATATAAAGCTCATTCGGCCTACCTCTACAAAATGATTAATAAAAGCCTAAAATTAAATAGTAATGAAAACACATACACACACTGACATACATACGCACACACACACACACACACACACACACACATATGCGCGCGCACACACACACATTCACACACAAGCACTTATGCACGCTAAAAATGTTTAAATAAATGTAAAAAAGGAAAATGAACCTGATAAATGTAGTACTTTTAGAATTAGTTTTATGTTGGAACTATATTACTTACTTACTTACTTATCTTCACGCACAATCCCTGACGGGGTAGCCAGAGAGAACAGATCGCCAAGTGTCACGATCCTTACATACCTCTTTCGCTTCTTTCAGATTCATTATCTTCTTCATACATGCACGTCTAGGTATCCGAGTACTCTTGACCCTCCCCTCTTCGAGCAATTTGCTCACATGGTCTTCGAAAGTTAGTCTCGGTCTACCTCGACACCTTTTAATATTTACTTTCGCGCTATATATTTTCTTCACCATTCGGTCTTCACTCATTCGCTCAACGTGCCCAAACCACCGAAGCACGCCCTTATCAATTTTTGTGATAAGGTCATCTTTCAAACCTACCATATTGCGAATCTCTTCGTTTCGCTTTCGGTCGGCCATGGTAACGCCGCACATTTTACGAAGAGATCGTATCTCCACTGCATTCAACTTGCTTTTATGCTTCTTCTGGCATACCCAGGTTTCGCTGCCATATAACAAAGTCGGTACCAACACTGCGTTATGTATTGCAAGGCGTGCACTCTTCACTACGCCTTGCCTTTTGACTAACGCAGTCAGGGCACCATTGACTTTGTTCCCGGCAGCGACACGCCTGTCCACATCTAAATCACATCTTCCATCCCGGCTAAAAGCACTCCCCAAGTATACAATTTCATTTACCTGTTCTAGACATTCCAGATTTACCCATATTTCACACTTCGTTCTCTCTTCGTCTCTTTCAAATACCAGAACCTTAGTTTTATTAGCATTCAAACGGAGACCTTTAATTTCACATTCCTCTTTCATACACGTGACTAATGCCTGCAGTTCTGCCTCTGATGGTGCAATAAGCACTGCATCATCAGCATACAGCAGACAATTTACTTTTATGTCACCCAATTTCACACCCAAACAGCTATCTTTCAGCTTCTGTAAACAGCTATCGAGATACAGTATGAACAGCCAGGAAGACATGACACAACCCTGTTTTACGCCAGTTTGGATGCTAAACATGGGTGACAGGTCATGCCCTACCCGCACACAGGCTTTACAGTCACAGTAAAGAGACTGCACAGCCCTTAGCAATCGACCATCCACACCATACCCCGGCAACAGTTCCCACATTTTTTTCCTTACAACCTTATCAAATGCTTTCTCAAGATCCACAAAAGCACAGAAAATCTTCTGGTTAGCAGCCAGAAGCTTCTCCGTGATCATGCGGAGAGAAAACATTTGATCCGTGCATCCTCTTCCAGGTCTAAATCCGCATTGTGCCTCCCATAGAAATCTTTCCGATTTCTCTTGCATCCTACGTGTCAAAACCTTCGAGTAAACTTTACTTGCTAAACTGGTTAAGCTGATCGCCCGATAGCACCCACAGTCAAAATGTGAACCTTTACCTTTATATAAAGGCACAATGACTGCGGATTGCCAATCATCCGGGACATCCCCCATCCGCCAGCACAAATTGCACAGCAGATGAAAGCTGTCCCAGACGCGAGGCCCACCATACTTGACCATTTCAGCAGTAACTATATTAGAATAATTATTTTCATTTTTATCTTTTAAACGTGCTACTTCAAAAATCATGTAACTCCAAAATGTATTATTTTTAAACTGTACATTGTTCTAAAACGACCTAAATTAACGGAAGAGCTTTGCTCCCTGATACAGGGTCATTAGCTTGAAAGGGGGCTACTGTCACTAATATAATATAATGTACCCATTGTTTTGATCCATATTATATATTCCCTATATATCATATATAAATATATATGTATATATATATACATATACATATATATATATATATATATATATATATATATATATATATATATATATATAACAAGATAAGAAAAAGTGCGAGGGAGATGGATATTATTCCATCTCGCTTCCTTATAGCCGCCGAGGCCATCTACACTACGTCAGAAGGAAAATCTTACACTTTTTGTCACCTAGCCCCCATCCGCCAAATCCATACCGTCCGATAAGGCACTTCGTTCCAAAAATATTGGTGGCACTTTAAATATTCAACCTTGTATAAAAATATGAACGAAGAATATCACGTAATTCTGACGTAACGTCTTCTTACCATGTAAGTCAAATTGATGACAGTGAGCTCGTCGTTCTCTGTCAGTGTCCCTGATGCCTGCGCATCGAAGACGAAAGACTTCTTCAGCATGTACTGCACGGTGTCGTTTTCGCCGTAGCCCAGAATGGTCTTTTCTCGGTACTCCCTAAAAATAATTAATTTTAGCGCGATAATCTACTGAAGTTCTAAATATGAACATTTTTGCATAACATATTTAATATTAGAGCCGCGGACTGTGGCAGATCAGGAGTAATTCAAGTACTTCTTGGCACAGAAAAGAGTTCTATAATTCGAGCCAAAAGTTTTCGGGGGTTTGGTTAGAGCACAAGGGAAGCTCTGCCTTCATTTGATGTGACCTCTCCAAAACTTGACAATAAGGTTCCATGTGCCTATTTCGATGATCGCTACTAGTTTTCACCCTCGCAATCACTGAGACATTACTAAACAGTTACCGTCTAGTCGTCATAAACAAGTCAAATTTATTGTTTGTAGAACCGTTGGAACTTGTTCAATGCAATAGAACTGTTCGAAAACCGTAGTTCTTGACATATTGCATGTAATCATTGCCATATTTGAAAATTGTAAACTATATAATGCTCTACGGGACAAACCATACCGTTGTATATAATACAAGTGATATTATATAATCTATATCTATACAAATAAATAAAATAATAATAAATAATAATCAAAGGCACTTAGCCATTTAGCGGTGAAACGCAGCCAACGTTCAATTTTTAAAATTTTTGTCTGTCTTTCTGTCTGTCTGTCTGTTAGTTCCGGCTAATCTCCGAAACGGCTTGACCAATTTTGACGGGACTTTCACTGACAGATAGCTGATGTTATAAGGAGTAACTTAGGCTATTTATATTTTAGAAAAAGAATTAGCATTCCACACAACATAATTAAAACCCTAAATTACACGCGGGCGAAGTCACAGGGAACAGCTGGTAAATAACATATTAAAACTCAGAAAAAGAACAAACTAGAAATAATTATTTAACAACACCTTACTCATAAGAACAGACAAAATCAATAAATTATATATAGAAATAATCTTAAATAATAATATATTTGTTACATATTTCTTTTCAATTATCTTTATGCCTTTAACAGGGCTTGCCCAGGTCCACTTTCTGTAGGGCCGCTTATAGAAAAAAGAGTTCATCCTGAAGAGTCCCTCCTTCTCTATGAATTCGGCCAGTTGGTGACCCCTTGGGTTCTGTTGCGCTATTCCGAATTTCCATACCTCAGCTCACAATTATTCCTTGTGCCTAGTCTTGCGTACAAGTCTCCCATTAACATCAACAAGTTTTGGAAGAATGCATGGCGCTAGAGATATCCTCATACATTTCCTCCACCTCCTTATAGGGATGTGCCTAGGCTTGTGCGTAAATGTTTATAACCTTCAACGAATACTATTTGGTGATTCTGAGGGTAAGCAATCTTTGTCCACACACTCCCAATTTTAACTACGTTATTAACGAGATACTTGCGGAGGACAAATCAGACATCTCCTTGTGCAGATGGTCATAGTACAATTACCCTCCCGGTTATAGTACAATTTGCTGTGTCCCCGCGCTCTCTTCGGATCTTAGATAATTCTATAATATCCCAGCGCAACTTGTCTATACATTCTTCCAGCCCCTGGGTCTTCTAGGCAGTCCTCAAAGTGCGTGCGTTAAATGGTGTTAGGTCGAGTCGCCTTAGGTGGCAACTAAACCTCCACAATAGATTCTTACCAACCCCTCGTTCGTTATTTTGTATAACTAATAATATAAATTAAATGGTACATACATTTTAAGAAAATTAATAATAATGCTCGTATATGTAGATAGATAACACTAAAGGAAAAATATCATATAAATTAACGTAATACGAGTATTTTAATGTATCGTTTAAAAAAATTGAAGAAACGATCTAACTTAATTTAGGTGGGGAAGAGGGGGGAGGACTGAGGGCACAATTAATGTGAATCGCTTAACCAAGTCACTGTTTAATGGGCTAAGCAATCAAGCCATTTATTTTTGGGCTACACCATTAGTTTTCATTAAATAAATAATTGTTAGATTGTTGAATACGATAGGAAATATTACGAGTGTTTTATAATTGGACTCCATTATAATATTGGAATCTACTTCAAAGGCCAGCAACAATTTTAAAACACTGTACTAACGATTTGCTACTTCCATTATTATCTTATAGAGCATTTGCGACCTTTATTACCTGTTTGGTAATATATACTATAAAATAAACCGACTGCCAGGAAAGTCATTAGATTAAATTATGTAAGTCAATGAGAATGTTAATTATCATCATCTCTTTAAGATCTCTTCACATGCCCACTGCTAACATAGGCTCCAAGTAACACGGTCCTGAGCCCAATCCTGAAAACTAAAAAAAAGAAAAATTTATCTGCTTTAACGGCGACATACACACACGATACTTTTATGCACATCTATGGCAGTTCTCTTTCGAATGATATATCTATATTTCATACAATACGAGAGTCTTTATTGTAGTCGCCAAGAAAAGATTAATACAATATTACAAACTTTGAGTGATTATAGTTTAAGAGCCAGTGGGCGGCGGACTTACGTTATTTCAATAAGCTTCACGTTTTTTTTCTTCAGTTAATGCCGTATACCTGAGGTACATGAAATGGGGACTCTTTTGTTTGACCGGCAGTCGATATAAAGACACAGGTGTTAAAGGTGTATAAAATGACCAAAAAAAAAAACGTGATAGTAATAAGTCTGCCGCTTTGACATCTTGAAATACTCAATAAAAGTTACCGAAAAATAACATTGGCAGACACCTAAGGCGGTCGCAAGGTCATGACAGACAGGTTGATAAGTACAATTTTTTCTTAATAATTTATGTTATTTCAATAAAGCTGCAATTTATATATGTTGCTGATAATATTATTTGACATATATGTTTTGCATGGCAGACATATATTGCGGTTCTATCACCCAGGTAGACAATGAACTTCAGTGGAGTCCGTAAGCACATACTATAGCACTCAGTCTAATCCAGTCTTTTTTTAGGGTTTCGTAGGTACACAACAAGCAACCCTTATAGTTTCGCCATGTCCGTCCGTCCGTCGGATGGATATCCGTCCAAAGTTTTACTCAGAGACCCTAGGTACTACAAATCTGTAATTTGTAATAGTTATAGATATTAATCACGCCTAGAAAACTGTGAAATAAAATATTTAAAAACATTTTTATTTTGGATACTTTCCATACAAATAAATGGAGGATGATTTTTTTACTCGTCTATTCCATCATGTGGGAAATCGTTGGATAGGTCTTTCAGTAACACTGGGGGTGTGGAACATCATCTTTTCGATTCAGGGGTCCATTTGCGAAATGCATGCTTTGAAGTGGTATTTTTCATTAGAGTCATGTGTCATGGGGGGGGGGGGTGCCCCCCCTCTACCAACTATACCACCGTTTTTAGAAATGTGAAAATTATACCCAATAGTAGTATATACCTATATAATGAAGTTGAAAGGAAAACTATCAGCGCTAAGTAAAATTAAGAAGTTAACGAGTAATATTCGTCCAACTTAAAAAATGCACTTGGATTAACTCCAACTTTAAATTTTTAAACTCCAGATTTAACTCCATAGAAAATGACCTGAAACTAGCTGCATTAAGCGAAAGGATACGGTGATAAAATGAATGGCGAGTACATCACTCACCTTCGATTCGCCGACGATATAGTCCTTATAGCCGAATCGCTGGAACACCTACTTTAGCACTATGCTCGATGGCCTCAATAGTGCCTCCCAACGGATAGGTCTTAAGATGAACATGGACAAAACAAAGATCATGTATAACGTCCATGTCACACCTATGCCGGTAGTTGTTGGGAGCATTAAGCTCGAAGTTGTTGACGAGTATGTTTACCTGGGACAAATAGTCCGACTAGGTAAGTCCAACTTCGACCGAGAGGTCAATCGACGGATTCAACTCTGCTGGGCAGCGCTTGTTGCCAGTGATAACTTATGAATCTGCGACGTGGCCCTTCACTGCTGGCCGTATGAGGAAGCTCAAGGTCGCTCAGCGAGCTATGGAGTTTCCGCCGAATACCCGCAGTAGAACCAGAGTGACCAACATAGCCCAACGGATTAGTAAGCTGAAGTGGCAACGGGGCGGTCATATAGGTCGAAGAACCGACAACCGATGGGGAAAAAAAGGTTTTTCGAGTGGCATCCTTGTACCGGTAGGCGAAGTGTAAGGCGACCCCTACTAGATGATAGAGTAACGAACTGAAAAGACGTGCGGGAAGTCGATGGATACAGGTGGCTCAGGACAGTGCTTTGTGGCATTCCATGGGGGAGACCTATGTTCAGCAGTGGACTTGTGATGGGCTGTAATAATTATGATGTTAATGATGATGACTAATATTAAAGAACAGTTGAAAGATAGTATTTCAATTGATGTAATAGAAATTTTAATCTAAACTAAATACTGGATTAGAGCGAGTGCTATAGTACGCGCTTATGGACGACACTGAAGTTCTTTGTCTGCATGGGTGATAGAACCGCAATATATGTCTGCCATGCAAAACATATATGCCAAATAATATTACCAGCAACATATATAAATTGCAGCTTTATTGAAATAACGTAAATTATAAAGAAAAAAATGTATTTGTCAACCTGTCTGCCATGCCCTCGACTGCCATAGGTGTCTGCTAATGTTATGTTTCGATAACTTTTATTGAATATTTCAAGATGTCAAAGCGGCAAACTTATTACCATCACGTTTTTTTGGTCATTTTTTACACCTTTAACACCTGAGCGTATAGGGAATTGACTGAAAAAAACATGAAGCTTATTGAGATACCGTAAGTCTGCCGCTCATTGGCTCTTAAACTATAACAAAAGGCGGACTAACTGTTCTACAGCAATGTCTTCCAGTTAACCAAATATATATATATATATATATAAAAGAAGAAGAATTCTTTCTCCTTCTTTCATAATAAATAGCAAAATAACGTAATAATTTCGTACGTAATTTACTATAACCACGCATCAATGTAATGATTTATACATAATTATAGTCAATTATAGTAGTAGTTAAGTATGACAGTACAACTAAAGTATACTTGTTATTATAATTATATATTTACAGTGTTTGCTATTTCTTTTGATTGATTGCTGGGTGAAAAATATTTCCTTTTATTGTTTTGGTTAAAAGTTTGTTTCTTTTCTTCATTTTTGTATCATTGACTTGGTTGAAAATGCGCTCGCACTCGGCATTTGAGCACATTACGGTATACAATGGTATTACGGTGACATATGACACGGTAATGCCATATTACCTTGACAGTAGATTAAGACTAAATTACGGTGCATCTACGGTAATTACCGTGTACATGGAGACACTGAGAGAACCAGAGATTACATATTAGTCTTTGTTTACAGTGGGTTCCAAGTGTTCAAGCGCTACAGTTGCGGCTAACAGATGTCACTCTTATAAATAAATATAAAATCGGTTTTGATAAAGAAATTTTAATGGGGTACAATATTTTTCGATACTTACTTATAAACATATGGTCCAATTTCGGCAAGTTTTGGCTTCTCTCCGTCAATGACTTCATCAGGATTCGTGACGTTAAATATATACACCTTGAAGGTGAGAGGCATTGGGAGTTTTCGCCATTTTTCAAACATTACCGATGAGTTGTCGATTTGGACATTCTGGAAAGAATAATACATTAAATATGTAAATGCTGGTTATTAAAAAAATGCGGGTATTGGTTTCGTCTTTTATTAATTATTAAGATTCCTTTCATAAACTACTTCTGTACTTCTTCTTGTTTTTCAATATTTTAATGAAATCATTACTACTAGAACTGGCAGTTTTAAACGTAAATAATCCCAAAATACTAATCAGTGATGCTAATGAAACAAAGCGTTCTATTAACTTTTTAATTATTTTTCTTTCGTAATTCTAAATTTTTTCTAAGACTAAGTGACTATTACTTATTTATTTATTCTGTGCTATTACGTAAGTGTAGAAAAATGCGATTAAATTATTATTTACCGTTACAGCCCATTAAAGTCCACTGCTGATCATAGGGCTCCCCAAAGTTTGCCTCATAGGTCGCAAGCGGGTTGGCAACCGCAGTTTTTTATTTTTAGTCGTTATTAGGAAGACGCTGTTGCCGATCTCCTGATTTCTTATAGAGCAAATATTTGTCACTCGTAATTAAATACACTAATTTATGATATTTGTGTGATATTAAAAATCTTTTTCGTTTTAAATACATAGATTGACTTGACAATCACACAAAATAATCTAATTTAATATAATATGTATTACCTGTGAGACACATTGTGTTTTCATGCGATGGCCAAGTCAATCTATGTATTTAAAACATAAAAGATTTTTAATATTGATATGGTCACTATAAGATTAAGTTAAGTTAGCTAATTACTTTTCCTTCCACTTTGTCGTCAATTCATGATGCTCTCTCAATCACTGACCACTTAATATTATGAGCATCTTCACAAAGTTGGTCAATATCTATTCCTCCAAAATTACGTCGCAGAATTTAGGTTTGATATAAGGAGGGCGTAGTTTATACAAAAGGAAAATTAAATGGTGATAAGAGAATGCATCAGCAGGACACTGTCCACGCTTGAAAACTAGATTTGAAGATGACACTATTATTAAATCAAGAACGGAAGGAGTACTGTTAGGAAAGTCATGAGTAGTAGAAAGGTGTAAGATTTGCATATTACTCGCTTCGATTCAACTCAAGTTTTATAGGCCGATGGTGTTAAGGCTTTAACTAGCCTGAATGACCTTGACGAAACGGCGATCGCAGAGATTTTAGCCGATGTCAACACCGTCTTGCAACTACGTTCTGTATTACTTATAAAAGTGCAAAGATTAATAGACTGCAGAGATGACAATTATATAAGTGACATACTGCCTGTTATGCTTGCGCATCACTGAGAATTATGTCGCGGTTACGCATCTTCAATTACATTGCACGGTGTGGTGCTGTAGCTTTGTCCGGTAGGCATCACGAGCTATCAAGTGTTCAAGTTTCAAGTACGTAAGAATTTTTATTATATATATTAAATCGTATTTATTTGTGTCGTATTAAAAATATGTCGTCAAAGCGTTCGCTGTAAATTTTCCCGGGTTTGTTCCCCGACAGCACGAATGAAATTTGTAATTGCAATTTTCGTCAACACGCATTGGGGAAGCACGGCGGGCATTTCCTTACCCTAAAACCCTCTCAGAAATAAAAAAAGAGTTCTGTGCCCAGTAGAGGGACTTGTATAGCCTATTACTTTACTTTTTAGCAATATTTATATTCGTTTCAGTTATAGAAGGGTACCTTATGCTGACAAAAATATCATGTGGAGGCGACGAAAACGTAAAACATCTTTGTACCTAGATAAAACGTTCGAAAGATTGTCAGTCATGTCATACGCCACATTTTCTATAGAGCGTAGAACATTGCAGATAGGGCAAAATAAAAAATAATCCAATATATTATGGGAACTATTTATTATAATATATACATTTATAGGTATTTATAATAAAAATAATGAACAAGCTGCAAGGTTCAACTAATAATGTTTTTTGTAAACACAATCGTAAAATACCTGTTTTAATTTTTACCAATGGTTAATTGATGAAACGTAGTCAAGATCACTTCATATAAAGTATATTTAATTAAAATTGACACGTGACCTATTTGGCCTTCTACTTACAACTCGGCGGAAATTTGAAAAGAAGATTTTGTCTTTTCACACAAGTATTGTTTACAACTGGCGTGGTTTCGAAAAGCGTGATTAAGTGTCAGCGGTATATAATCAATTAAATACTGAACTTTATTGAAATTTATTTTTTTATTTATTTTTGTTATATCTTCTTAAAAACTGACGCCATCTTACTATTTTATTATTTTTTTTTTTTGTACGCCTAAGGATAAATTAGACTAAGTTAGATTAACTTGGATAAGTTTATATTTTTTTTAATTTTATCACAAAATTTCCGCAATAAATTATTACCTTTTCTACAGTGATTCTCTCCTCTTAGTTTCGGCGTGACTGTAGGATGTTATAGTGAGTCACCGTCAGTTACTAAGCGGCCATAAATCATTATATGTATGTATAGACATACATATATACATTTTTTGATTTTAATATTTATGTTTTTTGAATTTTGATTGCTATTTTGAAACCTGGTAAAATTACTTTTTTCCATACCAATTGATGGGCCTGAGTATAATGCCAGTTATGCTCTTTGGCTGAAGTTATTTTTTATTTTATGCTCAATTGCAGACAAAACAATATTGATTGCGCATTTCTAAAACAAAATTTTACCTCTTCTCCTTCTAATAATAGCTCCTGCACCTAACACGGCGGAATAGTTATTATTATCTATAAGACCATTTGGGAAAACAGTTTTTGTTAACAGTTATGAGTGTAACATTTTATCAGCTACTTTGTTTATAGTGCCTTGAGCAACAATTTGCCGGTTTCTGTACAGAAAATGATGCTGGCTTTGCAAATACGGATGGCCGTTACCATTGAATATAATTCCCGCTATGTTACACTTATTTACATAGAAACTTTAATTATCATTTGCATAAAATTCTAAATAGCACTTTTTACACAAGAAAGTAAACTTTTAGATCCGTCCATTTTGTTTTTCACTAATTAAGTAAAAAGTAAAACAAACCAATAGGGCCGGGAATTAAAATTTCTTGCAACTTTTTATAGAAAAGCATGACCTTATCATAATATAAAAGTCAATCATTTAGCCATGTGATAAAACTTTTAAGTGTGCCAGTCAAACATTAATGATGATATTCGGGTCATTATACTGGAAATAGTCTTTTAAATATTTTGTAGTACAATTGATAATCTTCAGTATGATTGACCGTGTATATGACTTTTATAAGTCTATGTTATTTTTGATGAAAATTATTATTGAAGATAAAAGCCCTTTCACATTTATTTTAGTCTCGAATTAAATTAATCAAAATGAAAATAATAACATTGGCTTTTTATAACTGATCTTTAAATGTAAAACACTGACTTGAAATTATATAATTATTGGCATTTTTTAATTCATTGAACTTTTTTAAGATTTTGTTAAAACTACTGGTAAAAAAAACAAATATATATATATTATAGTTCTTGATGAAAATAATGTATGCGCGTTACATCGCATCCCATCAAGAATCTGTAATGTAATTCTTGGTATAAAGCTAAGACGTGATAATAACTGTAAACAATAGAATAACAAAATAATGAAAACATTTATATTTACATACAAAACATTTACAAAAATACTTGCTTTATAACCTTATAAATATTATTTGACCGTAATAAAATAAAACAAGGTAGTCTTGGGCATGAAAGTAAAAATAAATATTTTCGATTATTTTTGCAATATCTAACAGCCGGATCAGCGGGCGATTCTGATCCATCTAAAGATGCTAAATTTCAGCAAGCACTGTCAAATTCAATAGGAGTGACAGAAAAACGGTTCTTGATATAGAAAGGTAAATAAATTATTTAACCTATAAAGTAAAATCACTTTATTACAAATCAAAACAGCCCAATAGCTTTATTAACATGAGACACATAATTATTGTACGAGTGCTTACAATACTTAACATTATTTTACTGAAATCTCAGAAAGTTTTTTTTTAAATAGAATAAGGGTGACAAACGAGCACACAGTCCACCTGATGGTAAGTGGTTGCTACGGCCCATACATACTACATCTATCCTCGATTACGTATCAAAATGTAGATGCGTTGTCACCCGTGAGGACTAAGATGTAATGCCTCGTTTCCAGTAAAAAGTCCTCCGGTTATCTACACTCACCATACGAAACACAGCAGGGTTAAACTGCTATTTTACATGTTATTCCGTGAGAGCGTGGCCCTTCCCCGGTCGAGCCGACACATTCGTGCTACAACTATACCTAATAAATATAGCTGTAGCATGGCTCTACCACGTAAAAAAAAATTGACGTTGAAAATTTATGTATTTTTAGAAGCAACTTTGCAATTATTTTCTATTGAGTTAATTTTTGTGGAATCGTGTTTTGCAAACCGCCACCTGAAATACATACAATTTTTTTTCGATAATGACGTGAAATTACAAAACCATCCCCATGCATTTCAATGTGGCTCTATTCAGCCTCTTAATATGAACATACCTCGGATTTCAGAGATAATGGAAGATATAATATTATATTATTACTGTTCCGTGTGAGGCAACATTTATACTTATATACATATTCTCATCATATTTTTATGGTTGGTTAGAAAAATTATATCTAAATGCAAACTTTCACAGGGTAAATTTTTTTTTTACTATTTTTACCCAGCAAGTAGTAAAGCAACTACAATCCCATCGGTAAGTGGTTATGTAGTCTAAGATGATGAATTGCACTGACTTAACAAAAACCTATTCACTCTTGCCTAATAGTACTAGGTAAGTATTATTTGCGATCTATTTGCGCGCGCGCGCGCGTGTGTGTGTGTGTGTGTGTGTGTGTGTGTGTGCGTGTGTGTGTGTGTGCGTGCGTGCGTGCTTGCGCGCGTGGGCGTATGTGTGTGTGTGTGTGTGTGTGTGTGTGTATGTGTGAAGAAAAGCTTATGAGAATACGTGAAGAGGAATAAAGGTTGAGTACTAATTCGCTTACCTATACGAGG